CTCTTGGGCCGCTACTGTTTTCCCACCGGTGGTGAGTGGAGAGCGGTCCTCGGCACTCTGGCCAGCTTTCCTGCCTTTTTGCCTCTTGAGCACATTTTTCCGCAGTTCGCTTCGTTTCCTTCTCCCTCCCTTTTCTCTTCCCTCTCCTCTTCGGACTGAACAGCTCTTCTCCGCAGCTGACTTCGGCCGACATCCTCTAGCTAACAACCGAGCACCTGTTGTGTGTCAGCGCTGGGGGTGGGGGATGGGGGACACCCTGAGCCAAGGCCCTGCCCCGTTGGCCTCACACACATAGGTCTCCCCTGAGACCAATTCAAATCTCTCTCCCCACTCCTGTCCTGCTTCTCTCACCCTTCCGCTGCCTTGGGTGTCATTTCTCTTCTCCAGGGCAGTGACAAGGAAGCCAGGAGATGGGAACTCCAGTTCTAGGGCTGCCACTTACAAGGTGATACAGGACAAGGCATTTCTCATTTCCAGGCCTCAGTTTCCTCATCTGTAAAATGGAGACAACACGTGCTCTCAGGGATGCATCAAGGATGCAGTAACTCTCAAGTAAAAGCTCTAAAATACTGTAAGCATTCAATAATGTTATTTCCTTATCCATGTTATTCCCTGTCCTCTCAGGTGGGCATTTTCCCTTTCTCTCCATACCAGGGGTCTGGTACCAGGCAACCCAGATTGCTTCCAGTTCTGTGTGATCTTACATGTAGGAGCTGAGAGCCAGAGTGTGTGTATGTGTGGGGTGGAGGGAAGTGGAGAAGACCCACACTATGGACGGCCCTGAAGGGTGAGGAAGGAGAGAGTGCGGGGCGCGGCGGGTGGTGGAGTGCATTTCCTTAGGTTTTAATGTAACATCAGCCAGCTGGTTCCTCTGCTCTTATGGATGAGGAGACTGAGGCTTGTGGAGGTTATACTGCAAGTGACAGGGGTAGATCACACTACCAGGATCTTTCCTCCCATGAGTTTTCTACTGCTCATTTCCTCACCCCCTTTCTTCCCTTGAAGGGGTCTGGGTCAGTGACAAGGAGTGTGGGAGAAGGAACAAAAAGAGAAAAACTTCAAGGAGCCAGGACCTTTCCGCTAGACTTCATAAAATTTTAACAAGAAAACTTCCTCAGAGTAGAAGGCACATATCACATGCAAATCATATGCTAATCACATGCTAATCTAAAGTCTGGTCCTCAGAACTCACACCTGGCCCTAAGCCCTGGGGGAGATTCTTGGGAGACCCCTAGGTTCCAGGACAGGACAGGTGGGGATGGGTTCTATTTAGAGTCAGGTTATGGAGAGGAGTCAAGTGTATACTTTGGGATTAGGGTCAGGGTTAGTGCAGAGTCAAGGGCAGAGGGTAAGGCAGGATTCAGATTGGGCTGTGCTTTTAAATAAGGGAGCCTAGGGAACTCAAAGTCTCCTTTGAGAGACTCCTCTCCCCTCCTCCACTGCCCGTTCTATGTCCTGCAGCACACGTCTCTGCCTACATCCCATTCCCAACCACACCACCTCCCTGGGGCCTCCCAGTCTGGCTGCCCAAGGAGCTCTGGGTAAATTGTCCCAGACCCCAGCCTGGGCCCCAGTATTTCCTCTTGAGCCCAGACACTTGGCTTTAGCTGGCCTTGACCCTACCCAGGTCCCTTCTTGGCCGAATGTTGACAGCTGCAGAGGAAGCAGTAAGGACCTGGTGAGCTGGCAGCTTCATTCCAGAGCGTGGGGAAAGAGCTACAGAACATGAATAAATTCATGGAGCTGGCCCCTCAGCTCCCTGTGAGCTAAGCCTGCTTCCCCCACCATACACACCCGCTGCCGCCTGCAGCCCTGCTGGTCACCGAAGCTCACAGCCTGGGCTGGGGATGGGAGGAGAAGGGAAGCTCCGAGAGAAGAGGGCTAGGACCTGACAGGGGCTGAGGTGAGGGGCTCAAAAAGAGGGCCTTGGTTAGTAGGAGAGAGGGGTGGGGAGCGGGGCTCAGCAGAGAGGGCCTTTAGTGAGTGGGTGGCAGGAGAGGGGGGAGGGGAGAGAGAGGGATGGCAGGACCTGGGGCCGATGAGGCTTGAGGATCGGGTGGTGAGGTCAGTGTGAGCCCTGGCCTGCTCTCTCCTCTCTGACCCATCCATCATCCAGCCTAGGGGAGCAGATTCGGAATTAGACATGCACGGGCTGACATGGCCCTCAGCCCCCCCAGGAAGACAAATGGCAACAAAGACCTTGAATAAAATGTGTATTTATGGTTGGAGGAGGCCCCACCCCCACTGACTGCCAATCCTTTCTCTCCCAACCCTTTCAAGCAAGTAGGGGCCTCCCTCCACACAGGCCCCATCCTCAGCAACCTCCTTCTTGCTGCACCATTATGGGCTGCGAGGGGCAGGGAAGGAGTACAGGAAACAAGAGGTGAGGAAATCATCTCCCACCCAATAATTATGCCCTGATGTGCCCTGTGCTCTCCATTTTACATAATGTACTCTTATACATTACAGTACTGGCTTACCCTAGTCTCTAAGAGATCCTTTGCAGTTGTCCACCTCCAGGGCCTCCAAATACCCCAGTTTTGCCAGTCCTGGAACCTCTTCTCCAGGCCTCTGGCCCTGGAGTCCCTGTGAGCAAGAAATTTCTCCCAGAGGGGCGAGACCCTGAGGGAGGATGCAGACCCCTCACAGAGAGGGACCTATCAAAGCTTGTGTTTCCTCTTGGTCACCCGAATGACAGACACAGCCACCCCTCACAGGTGGGTGCCTAGCACTGAAACTGCATTTTAGTTATATTACTTTGCATAACCAATTTCAAATTTCAAGTCCCTCCCCCAAACATTTATTATGTGGGGTCCAACCTCTCTGAGTTTCCATCTAACCACAGCCCTTTGTGGAAGGGTGAAGGGGCAGAGATCCTAGGGCTGGACAAGGTCTGGGACCCGGGCAGGGGTGGGACTGGGCTGGGCTGCCAGGGTAAGAGCTGCCTTCTGACTCTTTCTCCCCAGTAAACTCTCTACTCTTCAGTCCTGAGATAAGAAAGATGACATTCATGGGGTTCCACATTTAGGGACTAAGAGGAAGACAAATATAAAACCTCCCTTCAAACAGCCCTCACACATACACACACAAAGGCAATCCACAATCCACAATCCCACTCACCCAGGGACACACAAGGCCAGGGTCCCATGGACACGTCCACACTTGCCAGCACACTGTCACAATGCACAGGCCCAGAGCCTACCACACTGCTCCAAGAAGCGCCCCGCCTCCGCGTCGTCCCCACAGTTGATATGTCACATTGGAGTCCGAACACGGACCTGGGTGTCTCTCTGCAGCGCGCCATTTACATTTCTCTCTCGATCTGTCAACCTGTCTTGGCTCCTGTCTCTCTCTCTCCGTCTCTGTCTCTCCTTCTCCCCCTCTGGGGCTGTCATTTAGTCTCTTTTTCAAGCTTTGTCTCTGTCTCTGCGTCTCTATCTGGCTTTCCATCCCTTTGATTTCTCTGTAGCTCCTCTGCTTTCCTGTCGGTTTCCTGCTCGCTTTCCCAGGCTGGTCTGTTTTCTCACTCTCTCTGTTCCCTCACTCTCTCGATTGCTCTGCGGCCCCCTCCGCCAACACTGGGGGTCGAGGGTAGAGGTGCCTGGAGATTTGCCTTTTCCAGTTCAGGCCAACCCGTACCCGTTGAACCCTTTACCATATGTTATTCGGTCACGGGCACTGAGTGGCGAATTTCTATTTTTTTCTAGTCCTTGTTGTTTGCTCGTGGGCTTTTCTCTTTTTCTTTTTTCTTTTTTTGAGGGGGGGGGAGCCGGGGAGGGCTCTTTTTAGCTCTGGAATCCACCTCTGTCTTCTGTGTGTGTGCATCTCCACCGCTTTTTATCCCATCCCCGTTTCTGGCCTCCTCCGGGCTCTGAGAATACCAAACTCAGTGTAGAGGGTGAAAGTAAGGATAGGGTGAGGGCAGTGAATCCCTGCAGAATTGGTTTAGAGCCGGTCAGGAACCGAGAGGCTGGAGGGACGCGGGTGGGGGCCGTGGCCTGCCCCGCCTCCACGCTTCCCTCTCTGGGCGCCAGGGGTCGCT